CACGCGATCGGGGTCCTTGAGTAGGAGGAGTCGGCTTGCAGGGGGGGGCGGGCGCGGGGGGGGCGCCAACGACCGCGCCGATTCCATCGCGGCCCGCTGCCCCTTCCTGGGGCTCTCAGGAATCCTCTTGGCCCAGTTGGCCTCGCAGTCGGCGCTGGCGTCGTCGCCCGCGAGCGCCAGCCGGCGGGCGGGCCGACCTTGTTGCGCATGTTTGGCGCGAGAGACCCGCGCAGGCCTCGCGCTGCGCCCGCGCCCCAGGGCGACGGCCCAGGCCCTTGCGCGCTGACGCGATGGCCTCGCGCGCGCGCAGGAGCGGGCGCCGCCGACCGTTCGGTTCGGTCCCGCGCACTTCTAATGCGAGAACGCAAAGCCCCCCATGCTGCTCGCGCGCTTTGCGCGCTGAGCAATGCGATGCAGTTGCGACGGCCGCGCGTTCAATTTGAAACCGCAACGCAAGTTTCCATTCCCGCGCGCGGGGCGGTGCATGAACTTACAGATGCGCCGACGGTCGAGAATTCGCGCGCGCGCCCGCGCCTGCCATGTTGGGCGCGCGCACTGGGCCCGGAAATCTGTGGCTCGGCCGCCCGATGCGCCCCAAAAGTCGCCCCGCCCCCCCCCCCCGCCCCCCTCCCCCTCAAAACTCTTCCGCGCTCCTGGAAAAACCACGCCGCCGAGGCGGGAGCTCGGGCCGCGGCCTGATGGTCTCCGGGGCACAGGGGAATCAAAGGAATCAGTACGGAATCAGTACAGAATCAAAACAGAATCTGCACAACTGCGACCCCTGATTCTAGCGGAATCAAAAGAATCAGTACGGAATCGATACGGAATCAAAGGTGGAATTGGCGATGGAACCAGAATCGGCCAGAACGGCGAAGTAGGCCAGAATCGGTGCCAGAACTCATGCAGAGAGGCCTTTTTCCCGCGAGTTCACTGCGGCGGGTGCGCGGCGCGGGCGCGCCGCGCGACTTCGCTGGTTCAGCGAGGCGCGCAGTCGGCGTTCAGAGTGAACAGGTTCTTTTCAGGGCGATATCCTGGCGGCGCGCTGGCGCATTGCGCATTTGCGCATTCCTGGCGGGCTGTTTGAGGGCGACCCGGCAGCGTCGGCCGAATGGCCCGCAAATACCGCGCGGCCGATCGCGCGCCCCGCGCGGCCACGTCGACCGCCGTGTGCCGCGACGGCCGCGCGACCCGGACCGCGCCATTGCCGCGTTGGATTGGACGGCGCAGCGCCCGTCCTCCAAAAGCCGTCACGTGCATATCGCGCGTGTCGAGCCAGCAGCAATCGCTCCCAGAAGCAGCCTCGACAGGCGCACCATGCCCTCTGTCGCCCGGTTCCGATCCAAATCATAGTTTCTTAGGATGCGCTTGCGCGAATGTGGGCGCGCGGGCAAGTAACGCGTGCGCGCGCTTGGCGCAGCCTGGGAAATTCAACGCGGAGCCCCCCGGGGGCGCGGGGCGCCGGCGACGCCTCCGCCCGCCTCCCGCGCGCCCGACCCCCCCCGCAAGCCGACTCCTCCTATCCTTGAGCGACACGACCGGGTAGTAGTCGCGGGACACTCGAAGGCGTCGGATCAGGTCGCGAGCGTCTTTGAAGCTCCTGCCCACCTGCTTGAACTCTGCGAACACCTCGTTGTCCGCTGGGTTGTCGTCAGCTGGCTCCTCATCTTCATCTTCTTCAGCGAGGGTGATCAGCTGCTCGACAACCTCTGTGAAATCAATATCTTCCCCACCAGTCTCGTCCTCAACGTCGTCGACGGGCGTGTCCTCATAGAAGGCCTTACGGTGCTGCTTGCCGTCGAGCTCCGCCAGCGCCTCCGCCGGGAAGCGCGTGAGCAAGGCCTTGTATGTCTTGCCAAAGTTGAGGTCGCCACCTGCAGTGGCGGTGATCTCTCCACGTTGAACAGGGGATAGCTTGGACTTCCGAAGGAACCACCATGTCCGAAGAGGCTTCGCAATCACTTCCGTCACGCTGGAATCAATGACTTGGAGCTGCACCAACAGCTCCCGCTCCTTCTTCTCGAATCTGGCGGCCCAGTCCTGGAAGGTCTCGCCCGAGTTCCGGCTGACCTTCAGGAAGAACTCCTCCGCGAGGAGGCCCGTATCATTCAGGCTGGTGAAGTCCAGCTTCTCCAATACGTACTGAAACACTTTGTTCCAACCAATCAAAACTCCATCCTTGTCGATCTCGTCGACCGTGTCGATGTCCGGGCAGCTCTCCAGTCCGGACTCGCGCCCCGAGGGCGCGCACCAGCTGCGGGCCGCACACGTAGCGCTCCGCAGTCTTGATGCTCTTGGTGAACATGGAGACCTCAAACTTGTAGCTCGTCAACTTGTCTGCCTCGCCGTTCCATGAGGGGACGTCGACGCGCGTCGTAGGTAGCCCGCTGGCGGCTGAAATCGCCATTCAGGCCGAGACCGGTGGGAGCCCGTGGTTATCGGAGACCACAGGCTCCGCTACCAATCTGAATATTAGAGCTCGTCCTCAAGATCGCTCACGCTGGTGACGATGAGGAAGAGCAAGAGAAAGTGTGTGTAGATGTCAATTATCGTGATAATTGTCAGTGAACACCTTTTGTCCACGATATGAACGGCCGCGCTGTCGTGTGCGCGGTCTGCCTGGCACAGCCAGGCTCTGTCAGAAAGAGTCCCGCCCTCCCTCGCCTTGAGCCGAGGGTGGCGGTGGAACGGACAGGGCAGACGGGCAGGAGACTGCTGCTGCTCAAGCTTACTCCTGCGTATCTTTCAGAGAGAAGGCCCCAAGACAGCCGAATCACGGTCAGGATGGTCCCAATTTGTCCCCCGCTGCACTCCAAATCGCGCTCGGCTGTTGAGGGAAGCCGTGGCTGGCAGGAGTATGACCCCAAAAAGCCTCCAGAGGCCCCCCCGGAAAGCCCCGAGGAGGCCTTCTTTGAACAACTGCGACGCGCGGTACAGCATTTGCCGGACAGGCCTTCCAGATTGTGTCGGGCGCTTCAAGGTGGCCGCCGACGCGATGACGCGTGGCGCCCGAAATTGTCAGACGCGAAAAAGCAATATGACTATAATTGGCAACATGTGGGCGTATGAAAACAAGACGCGAACACAGGACGAGGAATAAATAATGGGAGTCGTGATGCGAATATCGCAAGAAGGAAAGAGAGCAGGAAAGAGGACAGGGAAGCCGACAGGAACAAGAGATCAGAAGACGAACGCGGACATGAAAGGACGATTAATAACCACATTCAGAAAAGTCGAACGAGGAGGCGTCACGCAATTGCCGGCAGTCGCGGTCTTCTGTCCAGTTGGACAACAGCCCCGCAGCATTGCGGCAGCGCAAATAATTAAGCACATACCGTGAGATGCCATTGTAGTTGTGCGTGTGTGATTACATGTGCACACATACACAGCACATTAAACACCGTAGATAATGCTAGCCATCGTGGGCCCCGAGCAGCATGTTCCTAGCAATATATGTTGTGTTATCCGCGTGGAGCTATAAAGATGGTGCAATCAATGTTGTGCAATACTTGTGGTGCAATCGATGTGGTGCAACCTATGGTGTGCGACCTACGTTGGGTCATCGCTGTCGTGCAATTTAGTTCGTGCGAACTCTTCTGTGCAATAGATGGGGGTAGTGAAAGTTGTGCAATGTAGGTGGAGCGCTCTATGTGGCGCAAATAACGGGGCCGAGCTTGAAGGTGTCAACTCCACTGATCGCGCGGGCACTTCAGTGAGAGTCGATGGCTCGGGCGGGCGCGTCATCATGTCGACGCCGACAACGGTAGACGCGTTGATGATAGTGTCGAGAGTGGCGACGACAAGCACGATGACGATTACAAGTCAATTACGGCGCCGATGTTGATCTTGCCGATGACGACATTGGCGCCCGCGTGTCGGCGCGGCCGACGGGCGCGCCGTAATTCACTTGCAGTATCCCAGGCTGCGCGATCATTTCGGGGGGGGCTGGGGGTGGTGGTGTATCCCAATGTATTTTACTTCAAGGAAGCTCGTGTGGTCCAATCAAGGTGGCGCAAGTCGCTGTGACAGCCTTGAAAATGTAAATTCCACTGCTCGCGCAATTATCCCGCCCACCCACCGGCAACTTGGTTTGCAGAACCCGTGCGGCGACTGCTTGGCGCTGGCTGACAATCGCCGGTTGCCTGAGCCATTGGCTGCGGAGGTATCGCTGGCAGCAGGCGCATATCGGCATTCGCAGCAGCCCTGGCTCCCTGAAGGGAACGCCTCTGGCGCCGCCGCTGGCGCGCCCCGCGCGCCGATGACGGGGTCCAGTGCCGATCCAGGAAGTCCGCGAGGGTCTCCAAGAGCTGACGTTTTGTCATGTTCGTTGTTCTTCGATCCCCTGACAGCGAGAGCCAGGCCGCAATTTCGTTCACGCCGGGCCTTCCCGCCTGGTTTCGGGCCTTGGGGCCCTCACGGATCGATCCAGCCCGGGAGATGCAGGAAAGAAAGTCTGGGTGCAGGGTTCCAGTTGTGATTTCGCACGTTGTTGCAATTTGGCCACGGGGTCGGGTCTCCGGGATCAGAGCCTCGGAGCATTGGTGGAGGTTCCGTTGAGGCCGTACCGTCGGCGACGTTCGTGGGCCCCCGGAGCTCTCTCGAGCCTGGACCTTGGGCTGGCTTCCGGCCAGGCCACGAGCGGCCTGAACCAAGCCAGCAAACGGTGTCTCCGTTGTCGGATAGCGGGGGTCGATCAGCATTGACCGACACAATCGGCGTCGCCGAACGAGCCAGCACCGTCCAGAAACATGCATCCTCGATCCATGATCCCCGCAGGTTCGCTTGGCGCCGTAAAGTGGAGTTTGATCAGTGGGTCGGTCCTGCCAAGTCAAGGCTACCCTTCTGTCCTTTCGCGTCCCATGTCTTATGCATACCAGGGCAGGTAGGGCCACACGGCTCCAGCCTGCGAAAGGCCGAGGGCCACTGGCCCTCGGAAGGGCTTCTTGCACATCCTCTCAAGCAGTCGTCCGCCCGCCCCGACTCCAGCCCCGCCCCCGCCGCAGGAGCAGGACCAGCACGGGGCCTTGCGGGAGGTGGACGGCTGGATCGAGCTGAGAGGCCGCGGGTCGAATTTCGGCGCGACGACGATGAGGAGGTAAGGTTGAGAGGTAGAGTATGCAAGTAATGATTTGGAGAGCCGCGATGGGATTCGTCCGTGTATAAAATGTGTTCGGGGAGTTAGGTAGAATGCTCCGGCTCTTGGGAGCTAGCATAACATATGTGTTTGGCGTTGACTGCGTGCATTTGCCTAGTCCCAGAGGCGTTTGAACGGACTTTGTTCCCTAGTAAGGATACGTGTTTGTCGAACGATGCCCTTGCCTCACTGCCTTTCCCGTCGCATTATCGTTGGCTAGCCTTTGGGACAAGTTGCAGCGCGGACGCTCCACAACGTCCCTTGCATCCTCACCCTGCGTCCTGATGATACGCGGCGACCGCGGGATGGCAAGGAGGAGGGCGAGGGCCATGGGAGGAAGAGACATCCCGACCCCCCCTCACGCAGAACTGGCGTCTGCCGAACAGTCCTGTCCTGTCCCGTCCTCTTCGGTCCCTTCCCTGATTTGCTGCGTTTGCTGAAGTTCAGGAGGGGAGAAAACACACAAACTCAATTAATCGTCGATTCCCCAGAAAATATAAAAAAATGGGAAGTGGGGGGGGAAGACAGAAACTCAGAACATATGGGAAAATTTGGGGAATCTTGTTCTGTGTGTCTCTTTATTTGCGTGTCCCAGTTCCTCTTCAGGAGAGCCTCGCGTGCAGGGACGTGCGCTCATCGTGAGGGCGGTCCCTTCCGCCCTCGCACGGCGGACGGCAAGCACCCGTCCGCCCACTGGGGCGCGAAGATGATCGCGAGTCGCGCGTCGCGGTCCGGTCCGGAGAGCCGGCCTTCTCGATAGGGCGGCGGCGCGAGGGCGCGAAGAGGTGGCCGCGCAGCGCGGCTGCGAGGCGGGCGAGGTTCGGTGGCCTCAGCGAGGATCGGGGGCAACGTTAGGGTGACGGGCCTGTTTCCCACCACCACCACCATAAGTTGGAGGGGAAGGAGGCGGAGGAGGAGGAGGAGGCGGAGGCGGAGGAGGAGGATCCCTTCCCCCTCCTGCTTATGGCGGTGGTGGTGGCAACAAGCTCATCATAGGGGGGGACAGGTTGATGGGGGAATGCAGCGACTCCGAAGCGCCCTTCCTCTGATCGCCGATGGAGGCCCGACCACCCCGCCAGGAGTCGCGCGGACTCTGTACCGGGGGCCTATCGCCGATCTACGGGCGGTGTATCAACGATTCGAGTTCGATGCTTCCCCCCCTTGAGCCGGTTTTCCCCTGACGTTCCCAGGGGCCTACGACAGTGCAAGTCCTGCCTGAGACCCTTCCCGCCCTCAGGGCCCCATTCTTCAGGGCCCCATCTCTGGGAGCCGCCGATTCCAGTGGGGCGGCGCGAAAACACGGCGTCGTCTCCACGAACATTGGCGCGCCAGTTGCCCGCGTCAGGTTGCGCGGAGGCGCCCTCGATTCCAGTGCGGCGTGCCGCAGCGGCGGCCCGCGTAAGCCATCGCGTAAGGTCGATGTTGCCCCTCTCCCCCCCCACCTTCGGAGAAGGATTCAGTCGGGCATGTCCGTCTACAGGAGGAAGATTCAAGAAAATGTTTCAAGAAAAACAATGTGTTGGCGAACTTCTAGTCTCTTTTGACTATTTTGGAATATATGGATTGACTCTGTGCTATTCATTATTCCACAACCCGCCTGTGCGAGGACATGCCCGACCTAGGAGAAAGAGGGCGACGGCGGCGATGCGCCGCCGCGGCGCGCCGCCAGGCCAGCGGTCCACTCTGCGGGTGCTCGCGCGGCTGCGGGACGCCATGCCCCCTGCTCGGGCAGCCGCGGGGGGGGCGAGTGGAGCGGTCTGAGCCGACGACGGCCGACGGCCGGCGACGATCGCGACCTCGGCCACGACCAAGACCAAGACCAAGACGACCGCCACGACCATGGCCACCACGACCACCACGACCACGACGGCCACGACGACCACGACCACCACCGACCACGACGGCGGCGGCGGCGGCGGCGGCCGGGGAGGCGGCGATTCGCGGCTGTCGACATCGAGCGGGCGCTCCGAGGGGCCTCCGGCGCTGCGAGCCAAGCTGCTGCCCCCAGGAGGGACGGGCGGCCTCGAGGAGCCTGCGGCGATGCGACGGGAGTCGCTCCCCAGGAGGGCCCTGGCCGCTGCTGGCGGCAGTCCGCTGCCTTCGTCGCCGTGGCCAGCACGAGGGACGGCGAGGAGAGCGATGATGAGGATAGGGGGCCACATGCGAGCCCTTCCCCTACCCCCCTCAGAAATCGTTGGGGGTAGGGGTAGGGTTCGCATGTGGCCCCCTAGAGGAGGATTGTCGCAGCTGACCGACAGGTCCGGATTCGGCCACGGACTGCTTCCAGCCACTGGCGCCTGTGGCGCCCCTCTGATACACGTGCCGAGGCTGGCGGTTGGGGAGCAAGCACCGCGGGGCTGAAGCGGCAGCTCTTCAAACAGCTAGGCGCAGCGATTTAATTGCTGCTGGGAGGGGAGCGTGGGCAGGGCTCCCGGAAGCCTCGTGCCATGCATGCGTGTATTTATATGAGCATCTATCTGTATATATATATATATGAGCATCTATCTGTATATATATATATATACATATATCACGTTATGCATATGTTTACGTGTATGCATATGTACATATACATACATGTATGTATATATAAATATGTGTAGAGGTGTTTATGAACACACACACACATATAGAGAGATATCATAAACATATGCATTCGTACGAAATGGAGGACGAGCAGGGCCCTGGCCCTTGCTGGCGGCAGTCCGCTGCCATCGTAGCCAGGACCAACACATAAGGGACGAGGAGAGGACAGGGGGAAGGAGGAGGAGGGGGAGGGGGAGGAGGAGGAGGGGGAGGAGGAGGAGGAGGAGGAGGAGGAGGAGGAGGAGGAGGAACAGGAGGAGGAGGAGGAAGGCAGAGGAGGTGGTGGAGGAGGGGAGGAGGAGGGGGAGGAGGAGGGGAGGAGGAAGAGGAGGAAGAGGAGGGGGAGGAGGGGGAGGAGGGAGGAGGAGGAGGAGGAGGAGGAGGAAGAGGAGGAGGAGGAAGAGGAGGAGGAGGAGGAGGAGGAGGGCGAGGAGGGGGAGGAGGAGGAGGAGGAGGAGGAGGAGGAGGAGGAGGAGGAGGAAGAGAATACTTGTACTCCACGGGCCAAGCACCACCATATCGGGCCTGATAACCACTCCTGAGCAGCACAGTGCAGGCGAAGAGGCAGGAGAGGAGAGGAAGCGAGCGCCCGCCAACTCGGCCACTGGCACGGGCGCGGCGGCAATCATGGTCCGCGGGGAAGGCGCCCGAACTTGTGCCACCTCCAAGGCACATGCAGAGACCTCTTAGCGCCTCTTTGACGGTCCGCAGGGACGACCCCCGATCTCGCACCCCTCCAAAGGCACATAGAGACAGTTTCTTCACCTTCAGTCGGTGCTTGCGCGTCCGCGGGGGCATCCCCCCGACCCAGTGCCTCTCAGTCGACACATATCCCCATCAGAACTCGAGCCCAGGGCCCGACCCAGGTGGAGAGCATGCTGTTCACTGGCCTTCCCGCTCTTGCGACTCCCCCTCCCCCTCCCCCCGAAGGCGGGGAGCGCAGAGACGGTTCTGCCCAGGGGTCGAACTTTCGGGGCATTCTGATCGCCAGCATACATCATGAGGCTTCTGTCCGTGCTCATCATGTCCTCGATCTTCTTGCGGCCCCTGGAGGCAGCCCACGACCCAGAGTACCTTCCAGGTGGCACGCCGTCTCGATCTCCAATGGCTGGCCGCCACTCGTTTTGCGCCCAGACCCTTTGGTTCTCACACTGGCCTTGGGCAGAATACCTTGAGCCACGTTACTGAGTGCGTTCTTCCCAAAGTGTCCACGAGAAACAACGCACACATTTGCCAGTCTTCGAGGACACGCTTGCCCCAGCAAGTGATAACCATGTGTGGGATGCTCTTCGTTTTCTGCTCGAAGGGATACGCCAGCCGCCGCGGCGACGAGAGGCCTCCTGGGAGGCCCAGCGCGGGGAGTCGAGCGGGGTAATAGGAAGAGGATAAAACCGTTCCAGAGCGTCCTCTCCTCCTCGACCAGGAGGAGGATCAATCCGTCCCCGCCCAGCCCCTCCTCTCCTCCTCTTGTTCGTCTCGTCAGGCTGACCCTCGTTCTCCCGCCACCTGCCCCTGCCTGCGCCCTCCCTCTCCCTGGATCGATCACTCACTCCCTTGTCCGCTTCTGCCCCTGCGCCTGAGGAAGGGGACGCGACACCACCACCGCCAGGCGTGCCACCTCCAGCGAGGAGGCCCACGATGCTTTCCCAGGCTCGGGGCAGGGTACGTCTCGAGGTAGATCAATCCGTTCCAGATCGTCCCGAAACGCTCTCAGAGCGTTCTGGAACGCTCTGAGGCGGCCGCGGCGCCCGGAGATCCTCGATGTGCATCCTTCCCCGAGGTTGTCCTCGTCTCGTCGTCCTGGCTCCCTGTGTCGGGGCAAGGCGATGCGTAGGCACCAGAATGCTATCCTCGATCCTCGCGCCCCTCCCCTTGCCGAAAAGACTTCGGAGGTTGATAGACCTCCTACCCTGACACGTCGATTAGCGAACTGGCCGTTGGCGGTTCGCGAGAGGGCCCCGCGGCCGTCATGTTTGCGGGTCAAGGTCCGTCGGTTTCTTTATTAGGCCGTTTTCATCGAAGGGAGGTTTATTCAAGTTATGATGTTCCAACTTACGTTAGCCTTGATCACCAAAAATAATTCCGTGCACAAGCAACGTACCGAAACTTGATGGTTTTCACATGTCGGGCCCCGGGAGGCGATACTCGTTCGACACTTTTCTGGGTGCTCGAAATTATTTCTCGGATGTAGTCCTTCAGTACGATGGGATCAGCATAATACTAAAGCGAGGTTTGTACACCGCCGAAGACTGCGCCGCGGCGGCGGCCCTCGCCGGCGCCGCCGGTGAGGTCCCGCTGCATCCACCTGAAGGCCCTGGAGCCGGGCCGGGGCCTGCCGGAGGGGCGCGCCGCGCCCCGCCTTTCCCTCCGCCCTCGGCCCGCGCGCCAGGCAGCTGGGCGCCAAGGGGGGAACGCCTGATCTCCGGCGACAAGAGGGTGGTGCAATAGACTTGGCGTTGCAATATGTTTGGGGCGTGTAATACATTTTGGGGCGCAGGTGTATTGCTTCATTGTCGCGTGCAAGACATGACTTGCAGGACAATGTAATATGATTCTCCAGCGCAATAGATTTGCAATACATTTGCCCCAAATTTATTGCGCCACCCCCTTTCAGCTGGACACCCGATTGGGTCACCCAAAATGACGGTGATTTGATCAACTTAGGGTTTTTTCCTCGATGTCGGCCCGAGGGGGCCGTCAGCTAGGTCGCCCGCGGGGGCGCTGAGATACTCGCGCGTCGCGCGCCGTGGTCTGGGCCAGCGCGGCTGGCCCCCCTCTCCAAGGAGCGCGGCTGGATGGCGCGAGGGCGCGAAGATGATCGCGCGTCGCGTATCGTGGGGCGAGATGCGCGCAGGTAGGTGACCAGGGTTTTCTGGTCTTCGACAATCAAAAACGGATCTGGGACGCACAGGGCCGTTCGCCAGATAGCCGGGCGCCGCGGATCCAGGCCGCCCAGGTGGGGTCGGAGCGGATAGAGTCGGAAGATCGCGCCGTGTCGACGACTCACATCAGGGATGCAGCTCGACATGGATCTCGATCTTCTCCACGTCGACGTCTCCGATACACCGCCAGCATCGCTGCTGCATCGGCGACACATCAGCGACGCATCGGCGACGCAGTGGCGGTGCCGCGCGATCCTCCGACCTCGTCTGCTCGGATCCCGGCCGAGACAAGCGTAGTTACTTCGCCGGGTTGACATTTTAAATGCGCGGTTTTTTCTGTGGGCGCGCGGGGAGGGGAAGCCCAGGCACGCAGGCCGCTGCTGCCACATCGTATACCCTGATCGGCAAGCCAAGGGTAACTCTTTGGCTCTGGTCGCTGTGGCGTGTAGCCGGGTGGTGGCGGATGCCAGCTCCCAGGCATCCAGCGCCTCTCGGGGGCAACAGTGGGGAGGGGATGGGCTCAGCGGGGAACGCGTCGTTCCCCGATCGCCGATCGCTCGCCGCTGTGGGCCTGACAGTCCACCCTGCCCAGGATCGTCCGGTTTTTTACATTAGGGACCGGTCGCCGATCTGTCGGCGGCGTGTCGCCGGTTCAAGCTCGATGTCCCCCCCCACCCCCCCTCTCTGAGCTGGTCCCCCCCGATCGCTCCCCCGCAGCCTCGAACAAAATGGAGGCGGCCAGTTTGAACGACTCGGGACCCCCCGATCGCTCCCCCGCAGCCTCGAACAAAATGGAGGCGGCCAGTTTGAACGACTCGGGACCCCCCCATCGCTCCCCCGCCGCCGCAGCCTCGAACAAAATAGAGGCGGCCAGTTTGAACGACTCGGGACCCCCCGATCGCTCCCCCGCAGCCTCGAACAAAATGGAGGCGGCCAGTTTGAACGACTCGGGACCCCCCGATCGCTCCCCCGCAGCCTCGAACAAAATGGAGGCGGCCAGTTTGAACGACTCGGGACCCCCCGATCGCTCCCCCGCAGCCTCGAACAAAATGGAGGCGGCCAGTTTGAACGACTCGGGATGACAAGCCGGCCCTGGGGAAGGCTGTGAGGAGCCCAGGGGCCCACTCTTCGAACAGGCCAGAGCGCTGGATGTCTGGACCTTTTTTGGGCATGTTTGGCTCCTGCTCCTGGGTCGTCCTCGGCCTCGCGTCCGCGGCTGGCTCCTGCCCGAGATGCTGGCCAGAGCGCAGCACCTGGGACACGTCTCCGGGTGCGCGTTGGAGGCCTATAGGGACCAGGCCTCTTGGCGCCGCGGCGAAACCGTGGGGGGCCGCAACTCTGCAAAGTGTCTGCCCTCAAGAGGCCGTTGCGGACCCCCCCGGGGCCCGTTGCGGGCCCCTGGTCGAGAAGTCCTGAGGCACACGCCATGAACGCGTCGTGACATCGGAAGTCTGCCCCCAGCCGCGCAGCGGCTGGCCGTCGTCGTCGCCGCGTCATCGTTTTCGGCGTGGTTGTCGTCGTTCCCTCGGGGAGGATGGAACCGTGCCCACAATATTATGATAGTCGAAACATTTCCATATCCTTGGGACGATGACAGCAACAGATACCATGCACTCGGATAATACAGCTGGCAGGAGCGGATTCAGTAAATTGTCGAGGCAATGGAGAGGCTCAGTTGGAGATTTACCCACTCACTTGCTCGTCATTGGGACGCCCAGCTGGGAGGGGTGGGCGAGCAGACTGACGGGGGTGTCTAGGTGTAGGCGAAGGGTCAAGGTGAAGTGGAGAGATGGGGAGGAGGGAGGTGGGAGGAGCCGATGCCAAGCGAGGCGGTTGGAAGCGAGCCGCCCGGGAGACACTTGTGCTCGGCAGTCCTGGATCGCGGGCAGGGAGGCGGGTTGTCGACGTGTCGAGGCCGACGGCAACACGAGGTCGATGACGTCAGGAGCTTTGAGACGGGAGTCAGTGCATACGGGGTTAGCCAGAGCGCCGGATCTTGCAGGATCGTGTAGAGATCGGAGGTGGATAGACCTCCTACCCTGACATGTCGATTAAGGAATTGGCCGTTTTCGGTTCGCGAGAGGGCATCGCGGCCGTCATGTTTGCGGGTATGGGTCCGTCGGTTTCGGTCCCAGGCCGTTTTCACTAAATGGAGGTTTGCTAAAGGGAGGTTGGTCCACCGCCGAAGAGAGTAAAGCCAGGGTTGCGCTGACCCAGGCTAGCGAGCAGGATCTTGCAGGATGCTGGAGGATTTTGCAGGATCCTGCAGGGCCTGACTGACCTGGACCTGGATTCGCCCGAGTCAGTAGATCCCCGATGACGAGCCGATTGCGAGCCCGACGAGGCCGACGGCGACGAGGCCGCCGACGGCGGCGAGGGCGGCGCTGGCGGCGGGGAGCGCCGAGGGGCACGCCGAGTGCCCCCGGCCCGCAGGCAGAGGACGGTGCTGCGAGAGCTGGCGACGCTGCTGAAGGCGGCGGCGCCGCGGCAGGCCCGGACGCGCGGGGGCGCCTCTCGCGGGGGATTGCCACAAGGCGACCCTGACCCTGGTTTTCACCACCCACCAAACCACCCCCACCCAACCCGAAGGCTTCAATTTGCTCTCCACTTCCAGTGGGGGGGGGGGGTCGGGGAACATTGAGAAAACACAGATGGAACCCTTACCCCCCCAAACCCGAAAATCGGGTCTTCGGGTTGGGTTGGGGTGGTCTGGCAGGTAGTCAGATTTGGACGCCTGGCATGTCAGTATCGTTTACACGATCCCCATCCCCATCCCCATCCCCTTGGAGACCCCCACCAAATTACCACCCCAGTTGGAGATACACCCCTCGAAAGCCGAAGGGAACGACCTACATCCCCATCTAGGGGGGTAAATCGGCCAGTAGGGCCCAGGCCACGCCGCTGGGGATGGGGATCGGTTGAACGATATTCAATTGCCACAGGCGACCCTGGCCTTGATTTGGACGCCCAGCATGGGCACGGAAAACATGGGTACAATGCATAACAGCAGATGCTGTCCCAAACCGATGGCGGTCTGGGCAGGCGGCTTCTTGTCTCCATATGAACAGCGTCCGCGGCGGCGCGGACAGCGAGTCCAGTTCAAAATGAACAGGAACTGCTGTTGGGCATCGTACCCATTCTTTCCGTACCAATTTCGACCGTCCCGACCTGAGATTCGGCGCACCGTTGACATGGAAATGATAGGCACAATCTAGGGCTCCCAGATGGGATCCGAGCAGATGGGGTCGGGTGATCGCGCCGCATCGCTGGTGCATTGCGGATGCGGCTAGATGTGGAGCCCCATTATCTCCGCGCTGGCGTAGCCGATGCATCGCCGCTGTCGCCGATGCATCGCCGATGCATTGCCGATGCATCGCCGATGCGGCGCGATCCTCCGGGCCCATCTACTCGGACCTCATCCAGGAGGCCTCGACACAAGGCCATCAGTGGTTCGAAGAATGGGCACGAAGAATTCCTCCATTGTCTAAACTTTCCAGTCGCTCTGGGACAGCCGCCCCCGATCGCAGCAAAGCTTACCATGCACTGCCTTTCGCCCGCCACCACAAGGTCGCCCTCTGGCCTCTGGCCGCGAAGAGCCCCGAGACCTGACGGCTCCCTGGGTGACATGGGCAGGCCCCCTTGGGTCACACTGGCGGCGGGGGGGGTGCACCGCGGTGCCCCCGCGCCGCCGGGCGCCGTCCAGGGGTGCTCCCTATGGGGACCATTTTGAACAGGATCTGCTGCCGGTGCTGCCGCGGGCCGTCTCCATTTGAGACAGAAGGCCGCCTGCACAACAGCGGCCGCTGTCGGTTTTTGAAAACGCTTGTTGTTGGGCACCGTACCAATTTTGTCCCCACCCATTCCGGGCGTCCGAAGAGGTGGATGTGTCCCCTGTGGTTTTGTAAGACCGTACGGACTAAGTTTCAAGTAACCTGTCGCATGCTCGCGCGGCTTTCTTGGATCTGTGCTGGCGCCACTGGCGTCGTCCCTGGCGCCACGCGCGCCAGGGAGGGGGGTTCAGCGCCGATCCAAGAAATCCGTGCGCGGAGTTCCGAAAGTTTGTGTTTCTCATGTGATTGATTCATTATATGTTTGCTCTGTTCTGGAAATTCTGGAGCCTTCGGGGCTTCGTGAGGGCTGCGCTTGAGGCCCTCTGAGCATCTCGGAAACTCCTGGGGGACACTTTCTGGGCCAGGCATACTTCTGGCAACCGCCCGACCTCGCTCGCGCCGCCCTGATTAGCGTCGCCATGAACTTCGCTTCGCTCGGACGTGAGCATTTTTTCTCGGCGAGGACCATCGACGAGCATATTTGATCATGCAGCCAGAAAAGCACGCACGAAACCGAAACAGGCACGGAGAATGGTCGCCCGAGCGATGGCAAGCGAAGCAAGTGAGTCCTGAGGGAGGGGGCCTCGGGTGTTCGGCTGTCGTCTGGCTCCCTGGGCGCTCAAGGGGCCCGGTGAGAGTCCGCGGCTCTGCCCGCAGGGTAGGGCCGGATGGGCGCTCGCTCGTTCGCTGCGACGGTTGCCACGGGGTGGTCGCCCGTTGACGTCCTCCTCATCTGCCTCATCTTCCCCGCTCTCCTCGTCCTCCTCCGCTATCTCCTCGTTATTCTCCTCCTCGTCGTCCTCGACCTGCTCCTCCTGATCCTCCTCCTTGTTGCCTCCGTCCTCCTCGCCCTCCTCGTCGCGAGGTTGTCCCACTGCAAGCTAATCCTATCTGACTCAGTCCGTTCCGAAAACGACATCAGCTTCAGTGGGGTGCTGCGTGCGTCGTCGATCTCGACCTCCTCATTCGCCTCGACCACCTCGTCGCCATTTCTTGGAGCTGCTGGTGCTGCGGAGGAGAAGGAGGAGGATGGAGAAGGAGGTCCGAGGATTGAGGAGCCATTTTTGTTGCATTTTGAAAGCGTTCTTCGGGCCTCCTGGGGCATTCTCTTCGCCGCGGCTGCATCCGATTTTGATCAGAACGCACCCCAGGACTGGTCCGAGAGTTGATTTTCGAGAGAGGATCGGCCCCAGTCTTTTGTTTGCTTTCGCTCAGATGTCCTGTGCGATTTCTCGTTAGCCATGCGTTGTTCCAGTCCAGCCGTCGAGGGATTCGTTTGTGTGTGGGGCGGTGGTAAGCAGGACGGTTCGCCCGCCCTCAATTCTCGGGGGATCCGCAAAGGGGGGAATGAAGGCAAGGCTTTCTGTCGCTCGTTGAATATATTTTCTTTACCAAATCTCCGTCTCTGTCAAGCACCTTCCTACGTGGAGGATCGGGTGGCTTTGCTAGCTCTCTCCCTTACAGGGGGGCGCGTCGAAAGCTAACCGGATGGGGCCACATACTCCCCAGGTCGTCCAAGTTGCCTTGATTCCCCTCCTGCCCTCCACCGTGAGCCACGTCGCATCACGTGTTGTGCCTCGCACAGAAGGTTCGCGCCGCGCCGACGCAGCGGCAGCCCGTGCTCTGGCGCTCAAAGCCGCCAGTGGCCAAGCGTCGGCCGGAAATGGAACGGTGTGTGTTGTTATCCAGGCCTCCCAGATGGGGTCTGGAGTTGATGGGGTCGGAGGATCGAGCCGCATCGCCGATGCATCGGCGATGCGGCTCGATATGGAGCCCGATTTGCTTCACGTCAACGTCGCCGATGCATCGCCGACGTCGATGATGCGTCGCCGGTGCATCCCCGATTCATCGCCGATGCATCGGCGATCCGGCGCGATCCTCCGACCCCATCTACTCCGACCCCATCTAGGGGGCATCTATATTGTAGAGCCGCGTTGAAACCGACGCCGAGGCTATCGCGACGCGATTCCGCCGTAGGGCACTGAGCAAGGCCGCCGCGACCTCTCGCGAGGGCCCTTGCCTTTGATGTGGCGGAGGGGCACGAGCGGGAGGACTGGCGAGGAGGTGGAGGCTGCACCAACGACCTGTCAAGGCGGAAGAGGCGCGGCGCACCGATCCGGGGCTCAGGACGGTTGCCAGGATCGGAGTACTCATCGTTCATTCATAGTATGTGACCCATGTATTCCAGATTCTGAAGCCATCCCGCCTACCCCCCAGAAAAGGCGATGTCCGGCTTCCGACTTCGTATGTGTTGCTTGCCGCGCGCCGTCGTGTTGCTGCGTGCCGTTGTGTCTCCTTTGTTTCGTTTTCTCCCTCCGCGTCTGGCTCGGGGGCGGCCTCTTGGGAGCCTTTTCCAGGGCTGCTTGGACAAAGGGTATCCGTAAGTTCCACATTGGTGCTTTTGGGCGCCCTTTGAGGGCTTCTTGGAGGTCTCCTAGGGTTATGATGTTCCAACCTTTTATAGCCTTGATCACCAGAAAGAATTCCGAGCACCAAGAAGATACCGAATCTTGAGGGTTTTTACGTGTCGGGCCCTGGGAGACACTCGTTCGACACTGACACTGTTTCGACACCTTTTCTACACTTTTCCGGGTGCTCGAAATTTGTTCTGGGATGCAAGTACGATGGGAGCAATCTGTGGTCCTGGGGGCCAACTTGTGGTGGAGGGCTCCCGGAACCTGTTCGAGTTTCTTCTGTCGGGCCTGTCTGGCCCCTTTTGGGTTCCCGTTTGAGAGCCTTTTTGATTGTATTGAATACCGCTTGGCCCATCTAGGGGCCTCTTCGGCCGTCTTGGGCCAATCTGGGGGGCTTCTCGGGCCGTTTCGGGGTTCAGAACCCATCTTGAGGCCATTGGGCTGTCACGAGGCCATCTTGGATGTTCCTCTGGAGGCCTCCGTCGACCTCACCGCCTTGGTGCCGTCATCCTGTATCTGGACTTTGGACCCCAGGGGAGGGAACGCGCTTTCATCCCGGGCAAGCGGGGTCGGCAGATATTTGGAATCCCAAGTCTCAGTTGTTTGTGAGCGCCTTCATATTTGAAGAATCGACTGGCTTTCCTGGTTCTTTCCCTTTCGGGGGTGGGTGGACGGCGTGTGGAAAAATAGTACATGTTAAACGTTTTCCTATGTCATATTCTTCCCGCCGCGATTGGTACCTATGTAGCTCACGTCGCAATTGTTTGCAGAATCCGCGCTTCTAGAACCGAGGTAAGCACCGCTTCGTTTTCGCACAGCATCCACGCGCGGCGGCGTCCAGGCTGTCCCCCAGGGCGAGGTCTGAGGATGTCCTGATTGTGGTGAAGCTTGTGGATGTGCCCCGGTTGGGGTTTTCGTCGCGCCATCCTTCTCCCATCACGCTTTCGTTTTTTGATGTAGGGGCATCGACCGCGTCCGCATGTGGTCAGGGTGGCCTCGGACAGCGATCGCTCCAGAGCGTCCTGAGGGCGCTCTACAGCTCTGAGACGGCGGCGGCGGCACCAGGTACGCCATTCGGCTGCATTCTCTTTCTCCTGCCGCCGTCTTACCACGCCGCCAGCTCCAGCGCTCGTTGTCGAAAATCACATCCTGTCCGCGGCCTCGCGGGCGGGCTTCCTGGGCCGCGACCCCGCGGATGCGGGGCGCCCTTTCGCGGATGTCCCTGCGCGGAACGTGGCCGTGCGACTGCGCATCCGCGGGGCCGCGCCCGAGAATCCAGACCGCGAGGGCGCGGACACGGAGATGTTCGCCGCTCGTGAAGAGCGCAGCCCTCGTCCTTCGATCCTCCCCCCCCCCCAAGGCCAGGATCGCTTCCCTGCTGCCCGAGGCGCCGACGGCGGAGGTGGAGAAGCCGCCCCCGCCCTCGGAGAGGCGCCCCCCTCCCGTCGAGCCGCGGCCCGGCCGGCAGGGCAGCTTTACCGGATCGATGCTTCGAGGATGGACGGTTCGAGCTCCCCCGGCTGCGCCGGCTGCCCTGTCCGCTCCGCCTCCTCCCTCCCCGCCTCCGCCATGCGGGCTTCGGTCTTTAGCGTTCATAGCGGTCATAGCGGGTGCAGGCGCTCTGTTGTGCTCAACCAGGCGTGCGGTGGTGCTCGCAGAACTCGGGCGCGCTCGCAGTCGTCGTGCTCGCCAGGCCTGTTGAGGCCGAAGTGATTTGGGCGCATTGTGGTATTTTTAGGCAGACCGAGGTGCTCACAGGCATATTGCGGCGTTCGCAGTTTCCATCCCCCAGGGGAAGAAGGGGGTTGGAAGAGGAGCCGCCCTAAACCGCTTCCGCCCAGAGGGCTGGTGGTAATTGCCTGAGGGGGTCGAGATCCCATGGAGCACCGACTCGCAACATCGAGCCCTCGCAAGTGTGGGTCCGCACCTGGCAGACGTCATCAAATATGTACATGGGCGTTTCTCCAGCCAGGGCGGTAACTACAGTGGGCTGTGCCACGCGGCACTCGGCATGCGGTCGGGGAGGGAGCTCATGCCCTTTCCCCCGCTTCGTCCCCGGCTCCACGCCCTGGCACTCGCCCCCCGGCCCCAGCCCTGGCCCGGCTCCCGCAATGGAACTGGCCCAGACACGGGCTCCGGGCCACAGCCCCAGCCCCAGCCTCGGCCCCGGCCCCCGCCGGGGCACCAGCTCAGGCCCGGCCCCAGTCCTAGCCCCGGCCCGCTCCCGAGGAGACAGACGGTTCTCCTCCTGCTCCTCCTCCTGCTCCTCCTCCTCTTGCTCCTCCTCCTCCTGCTCCTCCTCCTCCTCCTCCACCTCCTCCACCTCCTCCTCCCCCTCCCCCTCCCCCTCCCCCTCCTCCTCCTCCTCCTCCTCCTCCTCCTCCTCCTCCTCCTCCTCCTCCTCCTCCTCCTCCTCCTCCTCTAATTATCACTTATCTCCTTATATATACATATATATATGTATATATAACTCCTCCCTGTCGCACCCTGAGGCCGGTTGAAATGGAGGACCAGGCGTTTCGCATGAGACGTCCTTACCATTTATGACCCTGAAGCTGAAACGTGGACAACAGCTTCACAGGTGGAGGGCGGGCTGCTTCCAAAATGGTGCTCTCGGCTTAGCGCCGCGCACACTCGTCTTAAACAGTCCAAGGGCTGCACGGATTGAGGACGGTTCGTTTTCAAAATGTGGTTATCGCCTTAGCGCCGCGCACATTCGTTTTGTACATTTGCAAGGGTTTCATTGGTTTTCATGGCCAACGTATTTGAAATTGTGCAATTGTTACTTTGGTTCGCGGTGTTGTCAAGTTCTAGAAATGGTTGTCCGGCCATAGAGTACCAGCCTGCCTGATCCGCTCGCACTTGACAGCACCACAAGCGAGGAGATGAACCAAGCAGTGCGATCGTCGAGACTGCCCAGAAGGCAGTGCTGCAGCCACCTGGGTGGCCACGAGACGCCCCAGAGAGCCAGGACCCTGAGCGCAGCGCATGCTCACTCGCCCCTCCAGCGTTCACCCCTGGAGTAGGTTCTTACTCGTGTACCAGGGGTTTCGCAGCAGGAGTCCCTGGGGGACGAAGTGGCACCAGGCCAGGTCGAGGGAGTGCAGCATGCGAGAGGGCGTCCGGCAGATGGCCGAGACCGACCTCCCGCACGGCATGAGACGAGATGCGCGGCACGCCAGAGCGAGCCCGCCAGAGGAGCAGGCCAAGGCCCGCGGCCCCCATCGAGATCGTCTCGAAGACGATGCAGGCGCAAGCCGAGGAGTCGGACGCCTGCGAGGAGGGCCCAGCCGCCTCAGCCACAGATCCAGCAAGGGCTGCGGGAGACACGCCAGCGCGGGCCCTCAGTGGGAGCGGGACGGGGCCCGCAGCTCCCGTGGCGACGGAGTAGGGTCGAGGCCGAGCGGCCGAACGGGGCCGCCGTCACTTGCACAGGAGGGGCTGCGGGCGGCACGCCAGAGCGGGCCCGTAGTGGGAGCAGGCCAGGGTCCGTGACTCCCGTGGCGGCGGTCACCCATGCACGGGGGAGCTTGGAACCACCCGAGCCACCAAGTGCGGGGCCGCAGCCACGACAGGCTCACGAAGAGGCCGGGAGGAGCGCCTGAGCTGTTGAGGTGCAGGCGACGTGGCACCAACGACATGGGCGCGGTGAGGGTGCACAGGCGCCCCCAGCGACTCGCCGCCGTCTCGGACAGCCAGGAGATGGAATGACGCCCAGCTTCGCCGAC